CATATTGCTTCATCATTTAATTATGTCTGTTTCCAAATACAAGATGTTTATAAGCCAGATCATTCACATAATCAGACCTACTTCAAATCCCAACACATTTTAAAAAGATTTCAAAAATGCAATTAACGTTCTGTCTGATGATTTTAGATAAGCAAAATAAACTCTGAAAATAAATTTTCTCTCATGAACTTAACACAGGGAAAGGATTCTGGGAAGATGATGGAGTAGGTCAGAAAACTTTAGGCTCTCCAAATTTCCTCCACAAGAAAAGACAGAACACCACCTCAAAGTGAACATAGATAGCATAAATAAACAAAAGTCCAGGTAAAGTAGTTGTCTTCCTAAGACAACTTGAGAAGACCCCAGAAAAACTAGACATTAAGGGGTAGAAGTTTGGCCTGAGTGAAATGCAAACACCTCCAGGCCTACTCCACAGAATCCACAAGTAACAAGTCCTGGGGGCATCTGGGTTGGGAGGCAGCCTCAGCCTCAGGAACTTTCCCCTCAAAGATAGTGTGGGGGTCAGACAGCTGAGTATGAGCAGATTGAGGGATCTTCCACTGTCAACGGACGCTGGGCACAGATGTACTGACCACACATGGTCCTGGGCTATGGTTGGGGTAGGGAGGAGCTGTCATACACATGGTGGGTGTGGTAGCAGAGAGAGAAGAACCCTGCTGGCTGTGGGCACTTGCAGGACAGCAGAGTTCCTGAGTTCCATTCCAGGGCAGAGAGGACAGTTGAAGTTACATCAGAGGGACCACAGGGAACAAGATATTTGGAGGCAGTGTGGCTAGGGGCCATAGCATTGGGGTTGAGAGGAGTGTCCAAGGTTAGGTCCCAGGAAAGAGCTCAGAAAATAATAGTATGAAGGACCTGAGGCCTGGAGCATCTCCCAAACCTCAACTAGAATTTGATTATAATAACAAGCTGCTAAAAAAAATAATAAAAATGAGTAAGCAAAGTAGAAAGAACCCAATCATAGATAGTCACTATGAAGCTAGAGAAGATCTGGGTTCATAGTCAGAGGAAGATAGTGGAGCTAAAAAAAAAAAAGCCACTCCTTTTTCAATGAGAAATGCCAAATGATCACAAGCCCAAAAAGAATTCCTGGAAGAATTTTAAAAAGGACCTTAAAAATCAAATAGGAGAGATTGAGAAAAAATTAGGGAAAAAGATAAAAGCAATACAAGAAAATCAAGAAAATTAAGAAAAGAAAATCAACCAACTGGGAAAAGAGAATCAAAAACTTAAAGAAGAAAGTAATTCCTTGAAAACTAGAATTGGGCAAAGGGAAGCTAATGATGTGATCAGATGCCAAGAAACAATAAAACGAAATCAAAAGAATGAAAAAATAGAAGAGATGTGAAGTATTTCATCAGAAAAATAATTCTTCTAGTGAAGAGATTACGGAAAGACAATATAAAAATTGCTGGAGTACCAGAAAGTTATGATCAAAAAAAGAATCTTAATATGCTGTTATAAGAAATTATTAAGGAAAATTACCCTCAAGTTCTAGAACAAGAAGGTAAAGCAAAAATACAAAAGATCCACTGATCACCACCTGAAACAGATCTGAGGAGGAAAACTTAAAGAAATACCATAGCCAAGTTTCAAAGTTCCCAAGTTAAGGAGAAAATATTGCAAGCAACAAGAAAAAAATATCAATTTAAATATCACAGAGCTACAATCAGGTTTACACAAGATCTTGCAGTTTCTATACTGACAGACTGTAGGTCTTGGAACATTATATTTCATAGAGCAAAAGAGCTGGGGTTATGACCAAGGGTAACTTACCAAGCAAAGCTAAGTATAATCTTTAATGAAAAAAAAAGGATATTGAAAGATTTTCAGGTATTTGTAACAAAAAGAGCAGAACTTAATGGGAAATTTGACTTATAAGATCCAGGAGAAATATAAGGTAAACATTAAAGATCAATTATAAGGGACTCAATAAGGTCAAACTATTTACTTCTTATATGTAAAAATGTTATCAGTACTCTTTTGACTGTCATTATTTGGGTAGTGTGAAAGGTAGGCTTGGGCTGAGTTGTGTATGATAGGGTGATTATAAAATATAAAATTGCATAAGAGATAAAAAGGAGTAATTATCTCATACAAATGAGGAAAAGTTATATAGTAAAAGCAAGTCAGAATAGGGGGACATCATGCTGGAGCCTTACTCTCAAATGGGTTAAAGAGGAAACAACATATACATCTAGAAGGATATAAAAGTCTTTGAAATTTAGAAAGAAATAAGAGAGGGAGGGGAGGATATAGATTAAGAATTAAAAGGGGAAGGGAATAAAGGAGAAACTCTGAGAAAAGCAGATTAAGGTGGAGGGTGGGAAGAGAGGATAAGGAAGGGACTCTTAAAGGGGTGGGTAGATTAAGGAGTGGGAGGGCAAGACAGCAGGTAGAAGTAAATTAGATGAGTCAGGAGTGATAGGGTAAAAAGGATGAGAAGTATAGTAAAGAAAAATAGGATGGAGGGAAATATACAAGTAATTATAATTTTGAATGTGAATGTGATGAATTTACCCATAAAATGGAAATGGATAGCATAATGGATTAAAAAATCTGAATTCAACAATCTGATACTTTCAGGAAACACAATAAAAATGAGAGATACAGTCAGAGTTAAAAATAAAGAACTAGAGTAGAATTTAATATGTAAAAATAAAAAAAAAAGCTGGGATAGTTATCATGATCTCAGACCAAGTTAAAGTTTAAAATAGATTTAGTTAAAAGAGAAAATGGGGAACTACACTAGGTATTACTAATATTATCCGATATTGTTTTAGACCATTTAAAATAACTAGACAATATAAAATTCCTGAAAATATAACTGCCAAAACAGACAAAGGAACTACATGAACATATATATAAAATACTCTATACAAATAAATTCAGTTAAATAATTGGAGAAATATTCATTGTTCACAGGTAGCCAAAGCCAATATAATACAAATGACCATTTTACCTAATTAATCTATTTATTCAACAAAGGACTATAGTAACTTTGTGTTTGACTAATGTAAAGATTTGATTTATTGGGATAAGAATTCATAATTTGGTAAAGACTGATGAGAAAGCTGGAAAGCAGTTTGGGAGGAATTGGGCATAGACCAATACATTAAAGCATGTACCACGATAAGGTCAAAATTGTTACATGACCTAGATATAAAGAGAGATATCACAAGAAAATTAGAAGACCATGAGCACATCACCTATCAGACTCAAGGAAAAGAGAATAATATACAAAGAAAGAAGAAATAGAGAGCATTGTTGAGGTGTAAAATGGATTTCAATTATTTTAAATTAAAAAGTTCTTATATAAATAAAACTAATATAGCCAAGATTAGAAGGAAAGCAGAAAACTGGGAGAAAACTTTCAGAGACAATCTCTCAGATAGAGGTTTCATTTCTCAAATATATAAAGAACTTCGTCAAATTTATAAGAATATGAATCATACCCCAAATGAGAAATGGTCAATGGATATGAACAGGTAGATAAATTAAAAGCGCACAGCAGAGAACAAAAGAAAACCTAGAAGGAAGCACAAAAAAGCTGGGCAGCTTTGAAAACAAAGTATAGTATTTATTATATAGGTTTTCTTGATATGGAAATTTATTATTTTACATTAAATCCTCTCATATGTTCTGCTGTGTACATGAAATTTTTTTATTTCTTTTCTCATTTTGTATATAAGTTTAAAATAAGTAAAAAAAAAACAAGAACCTAACACAAAAAAGGAAGTCTTTAGTATTCAGAAAGAAATGACAGCTATTTCTAAATAAAATTGATTAGAAATTTAAGAAACCTGTGCTAAGAAAAAAAATGGCTCCATTAGGAAAAATCTCATTAAGATAATTACTGATAAAAAATGAATTTCAAATTACCTAAATGTGTTAACTAATATAATAAGCCTAATTGGGTAGCTCTTTCAGATACAGGCTATTTCCTCCTTAAGGAAATCTATGGTTTTGTGCAGCATTGTGGTAAAGCACTGGCCTGGGTGTTCAGCAATCTGACTTCTTGTCCCACTTCTGCCATTTATTAGTTGTGCAACTTCAGATCACTTCAGATGCCTGGGCCTCAAAGATGCCTTTTTAAACCCAGAATGGGGACAATGATAATACTTTCTTTACTTAACTGATAATCTGCTGTCAGAAAAGCTTTTTTCTCAAGCACAAAGTACATTTTCATTACCCAAGCCTTCAATTAATTTTGTTTTCCAGTGTTATAACTACAGGACAAATAAACAAATTAATAATATAACAAAACAAGTTCAAATGAGGTATTTGAGGTTTGTTGTTTGTTTTGTTTAGCAAAAAAAAAAAAAAAAGCAGATATGTTCCCCTCCTAGGATCAATGCCTAGTCAACCGAATCCCTAATGCCTGTTATAGAAATAATTACAGGAAAATAAGTTTTAGGGTTGTAGTAGCCCTTTAAAATCATCTGATCCAATAATTTTATTTTTCAAGTATTAAAAATGAGGCCCAAAAAGATTCTGAAAAAGAAATCAATATTCAGAATGAATACACTAAGGCTCAGTTGAAGTCTTCATTAGCACCCCTCAAAATTTGTTTTCATTATATTATACTTACTATGCCAGGAAAAATGGAAATCAGTTTTAAAAGACTTTTAAGCCAAGATAAAAGCAAAAACATGCAATACTGCTTAAAATTCATCAGAAAATTTAAGAAAATAATGTACTTGTCTCTATCTGTTAGAATGTGACTCCTAGAGAGCAGAGACTATTTGGTTTTCTGTTTGTATCTCATGAATTTAGCACAGTGCTTTGTACATAGTAAGTGCTTAATAAATGCTTTCATAAAAATTCATTCATTCCTGATGCCTAATAAATGCTTTATCATTCATCACTTCAGTCTGGTTAAAGAAGATTTCACTGAGTTATAGCAAGCATAAAAGAAAATCTAAAGGGGGGAAAAAACACCTAAATTGAAAAAAGAAAACAATGGAACTGATTCTTACCGAATGGCATATGTAGAAGCTGTAATCATGAGGAACAACACCAACACCATGCAGACCCCTGTCAATCCAGGAACTAAAATAAATACATAAATAGATAAATATATGTGCATGCATTTAAATTGTTCTGAGAAAAAGGAGAAAGAGTTATTACTTAGAAATTCAAAGTACTTTTCTCTCTGTTGGAAATACACATCAAAAGCCAAGCCCCTCTGTGTACTTTTCCATTTTAACTGGTTATTTTATTAATTATCATAGTTTTGTAGACACTCATGCAAAATCGATTTCCTCCCTCCCCACTATGAGTGCTTGTATTTTTCATACTGGTTCACATGGCCTGGTGAATACATATGAATTGTTTTTACCTCTCCCAAAATGCACATCACAGCCTGAGACCAGAGAATGTCAGAGAACTTTAGCAACTAATGGCCTTGTTGGTTTGGTTATGCTTTTCCCAGCTTTTAAATTTTTCTCTGAGCTAGCTGCTTACCAAAGGGCCTCATTTTTTTTTCTAATGCTTTTTGGCTGTAGTACCTGAAATACAAAGCCCAATGCTTTTCAAAACAGCACCATTTAAAAAAAAAAACCTGGATGGGAAAATAGATATTTTCAAACAAAGAGATTACAATGCCAGCTGTTGCTAAGGCCATTGGCAGGCCCATTTTTGTTTTGAAATGGAAAACATGCTGAAATTATGCCTTCTGACTGCCTGATGAGAGAAATTATTGCATGTGTACCAAAACCTGCTCAATATAAAAAGAAATGTACAAACTGACATTGCCTTTCAAAATCAGTAAGACAAACAACTGATGAGATCAGGCTAACGGCAGCCTAGATGGAATGGTGGGCAAAATCAAAATGGTTGACATACTAAGTCTAGGAGACAAGGACTGGACTTGCAATTTTACTTGTATAGGAAACTCCAATTGTAGAGGTTGGTATCCTCTGAGCTACTGATATCTTAAAGAGTTGTCTGCTGGCAAATTCCCCCCACTCAGATCAAAGTGTAATCGTAAAATGTTTAACAGAATAAATAAAATCATAATACAGTGTAGATAATGCAAATTTGTGGTTTTCCAAATCAACACGGTAGCAGGGATCTGTTTCCATTAGAATTTGATCTCACTGACCAAGAGCATTGAGAGTATAAGTGACTTGCCCACACTTATTCAGTCAGTTTATATCAGGGCTGAGGTCAGCTATACCACTCTGATGTGCTTCAAAAATTTAAAAAAAAAAACCTCAATCACTAAAATGTCTATACCTTTGACCCAGAGATTCCACTGGGCAAATATTAAAAGATGTCAAAAACAAAAAGAAAGTACCAAAATATCCAGAACAGCACCTTTTGGGGTAGTAAAGAATTAGGAATAAAGCAAGAATCCATCATTTGAAGGAGCTAAACAAACTTTGATAAATGAATGAATGGAATATTGTTGCACTGTAAAAAAGAAATGACAAATACCAAGAATTCAAAGGAACATGGAAATACATGAATTGTTGTAGAGGGAAGAAAGAAAGGAAAGAAAGATCCGTAAGATAATATATATGCATGTGTGTGTCTGTGTGTGTGTAATGACATCACCAATATAAATAAAAAACCCAGTAAAACAAGACTGAATATTGTGTAATTATATTGACCAAACTTAATTCCATTGTAAAATTGAAAAAACAAACAAACAAACAAACCCAACTTTCTTCATTGCAGAAGGGGGACTATTGGTATGGAATACTATATATGATTCCAGTCATACACGGTCAATGTATTGGCTGGTTTTACTGGTTTATTTTTAACTCTTTCTTATTCCTTCTTAGAAGGGATGGCTCAACTGGTAGAGGAGAGAATATATGCAGAAATGAATGTGATACAAAAACAAAAGATATAAATACAAATTATTTTTAAATTTAAATTTAAAATTAAATTTAAATTTAAAAAAAAACATTCTTAACAAGATAGCTTTTGTAGTTTATTGCTACAACACTTATACAAACAATCTGGCATTTAATTGATGTGATCTTGCATTCCTTAGACTATTTTAAGAAATGATGATCTTCTGTGAATTTAATGGACTGGTTCTTGGCTAACAGATAGAAATTAGCTTCCTAGTTCTCTAACTGAAGACTTACCTTATAGGTACTTGCTCTATAGAGTCTGCACTTCACTAGCATAGCAATCTAGAACCTAAGGTCACCTTCATGCCAGAATAAGACTCAGAGGACATTAGCATTGGTTGTATCTCATTAATGCCAGTTAAATGTAACTAACTCTATAGTATCAATCTCTGGTTATTTTACTTCTCCCAATAGAAAATGAGCTCTTTGGGGGCACAAACTGTAGGGCTTTCATATTTTTACTTCAAGCACTTAGCTATGTTGGAACATAGTAGGGACTTAATAAATGCTTATTGACTGAATAATTCATTTTTCTATATAACACAAGCATCATGGATGCCTAAATGCCCCAAGTTAGAAACCCTGGGCCCCTATATAAAGCAGGGTAATGCATTGATATCAAGAGAAGTATTTCCTCATTTTGCTTGTTTTGGACCCAGAGTCAGGAAAGCTTGAGTTCAAATTTGTGTTCACTTAGCTGTATAACCCTGCACAAATCACTTTACCTTAGTCTGTCTCAGTTTCCTCATCTGTAAAATGAGATTCATAATAGCATCTACTTTCTAAGGTTTTATGAGAATAAAATGTGACAATATTTGTAAAATACTTTGCAAATCTTAAAGTGCTATATAAATGTCATCATTATGTTATTATTAGTAACTATCATTATTATTACAGAGTATTCATATCCTTCACTACCATGACTCAGTTTCCTTTTCACTCTGAAACTCTCCTCAATGCCTGGGGTCTTCTAATCCTGGAACATCATTCTACCACACTAGTCTCCTTCTCCCATTGCTAAATTCCTTCTGGATACTTCATTTTGGCAATGGGCCTAAGCTGGCCATCCTTAATTCCCCTCTGGGCTGTCCTTCTGACTCTGGACTTTTCCATCATGTCCCAAGATGAGTACCTTCTCCATCATCCCCCTCCACTTGCTTTTCAGTTCCCTTTTTTATGTGTTGTCTTACCCCTATAGAATGTAAAGTTGTTGTGGGCAAGGATTGTCTTTTTTTTTTGCTTGTATTTTTAATCCCCAGAACTTAGCACAATGCTTTCCACACAGTAAGCACTTAATAAATGTCTGTTGTCTAACTGCCTGCTTCCCTCTGCAAAAAAATACCATAGAATCATGGCCTTTAGAGGCCATCTAGCACAACACCTTGAGATCCGGAGAGGTTAAATTACTTGCCAACATCACATAGATAGTAAGTAGAAGAACCAGAACTGAAACCCAGTTCCTCTCACTATAAATCTGGTGCTTTCTCTCATTACTAAGCACAGTATATGCCTATCTCTAGATGGACTCATTAGCAAAACACTCAAGGTGATTAAAGTGTCATGGTATTAAAGTAGTGGTACCTGAATTTTTACATATGTCACTAGGGACCTTACCGTGATTATAAGTAAAGATGGAATTTGGCAAAGATCAAGCCAAATAGGAACAAGTAAGCTTACCTAACTGTAAATCATAGTCTCTCATAACCACAGTATGTCTATTCAGAAAAATGGGCAAAATTAATTTTTGGTACCTTCTTCCCTAACCACCAGGTGTCTAGTGCATTTATGCTATCCCTCTAGCTTTAAAAAAAAACCCTTACTTGGCTAACCACCCAGGGCTTACCTCCCCTAAAAATTTCTCATCTATCAATGTACCACTTCTTCAACCTACTCTCAAAATTCCTATGGTCATAGAGGCATAGCTGTCTGCTATGTTTGAGGAAAAAGCTATTTGATTGTATTAATCTATACTAGGATATCAATGACTAATAAATAGCCCAACCCTCTAGTTATTTGAAAATTTTAAGTGGCTTCTTATTGACCCCAATGGACCTATAATGGCTGAAATGATGTCATCAGGGTTAGGGGCATAGGGGACTGTGATACAACTTCTCATCACCTCCCTGAAGATAACTGCCTAAGAAGACAGACTATTCTCATTTCATATGGTGTTGGCATATGGTTTTGAAGACCCTGAAAAAAGTATTTGGGAATCAATATGTAAGAAGAATTTAAGCTTATGTCCAAGGCATCTTGTTTTGGAACATGAAAAAAAAAAGTTGTAAAACTAATACTGCAGGTACTGATTACGTTCATAGACTTAGACACAGTAATGAGGGTGTACTACATTATAAACAATGTCTATGGGTATGGAACACTATGTATACTATCACTGACTCCACTAATGTGATGGTTAGTTTGACAGACTTCATTCTTCCTCTCTTTCTCTTTCTTTCTTTCTTCCATTTTCTTCCTTCCTTTCCTCACACTCCTGGGCATGGGGAGCAGGGAAATATATAGAAATAAAGGTGGTGTAAAAACAAAATATCAACCAAATTTTAGTACAAAAAAAAAGACAATTTCTCCTTAGATATTAAATCTCCATCATATATTCATATATTGAGAGAAGAATGTAAATTATGGCATTACAATGAATCAAGAAGATCAGAAGCAGCTTACAAGTCATCCCTGTTGCCTCTGGGAAGAACCAAGCCAGAATATTAGGTTCCTATGCTTTTCATTAAAATATATAAAATAGATGACTACATGAAAAGTATTAAAATGTATCATTCTCATGTAAAGCCAGGTTTCCCAAGAATAGCTTTGATGATAGGAGACTCTGCAATAGTCCAGGGCTTCATGCAATTAGCACAAGTCATTTAAAAAGAGAAACATCTGAAATATCTCAGTATCCATCATTTGGACTGTGCAGTAGATATCCTTTTTGAAAGTTACAAGCATGTTTGCCAAGTATATATACCTCTCTTTCATCTCTCACTTGGTATAAATAATTGGATGATCGTTGATAAAAAGTTCTTTCTCGGGTCAAGCAAAAGTGAGATAGCGTCGGCTTGTCTGTGACATTGAAGATGAAAAACAGAAAAGCCACCAGTTTGAGTTGGCCTCAACAGAGGGACTTGTTTTCTAGACACAAAGGAAGGAGGAAGAACTTCCTACCCCAACTCCCCCACTCTCTGACTCCCCACCTGAAGGCATGGCAAGTGGATCTTGTGACAAGGCAGAAAGAAAGAAATCAAATACTCATTACAACATGGATTAAGTCATGACACATCAAACTGGGCCCACAGAGGCCCTGGCAAGTGCTTCAAGACTTGGGCCAGCGCTGCTTCTTAGTCAGTTGCTTTCTTCACTCCACTCCCTCAATCATCATAAATTTGTCATCACAAATAACATCCTGAACAATTACTTGGTGCTCCTACATGGCAATTAAGGCTCCAAGAATTAGAGGAATGAGCTTCGTGAAGACAACGGAATTAGTAAGACAATTCCCTTCGAAGATCTTATTTAGAAGCAGCTTCTTCAGGTCAATCACCACTCTTACCCACACCTTGGAGTTCCTTATGTGCCTCTTCTACTGTTTCCCCCTTCATCAGGTCCTGTGACCTTTCAGTCAATTGTGTGAAGATGTAAGGAATAATAAAAGCCTGAATGTTTTCTTCTCATATTCACATTATACATGTGAAAATGTTACCATAAAGCTTTGCCTTTTTTGCTTATGTTGATCATAAGAATTTCAGATAGCATGCCCTCTTGCCCTTTGAAATTACTTTTCTTGCTTTGGGGTATACAATAAAACCACCACAGCCAACTCCTTTACAACTAAAAGAAAAACCTATGAATCATCCTTCCATTTATCTCCAACTTCTTTTTTGTCTTCTTACCTTGTCACCAGAATATCAATGTTGACAAGGTTTAGTTCTTTCAATAATATCAGTTTAGTCCGTAGTAAGGAGTCTTACATTTAAAATGCTTGGAGCTAAGATGATCTAAACACTTTCTCATTCTTAATTGCCTTCTCCCTGCTTTTCCATCTTTCCATCTCTGGTCAAAAGTCAAAAAAGTCAAAAAAGCTGAGGGTCATTTTTTCATAAAATATCTTCTTTGTTTTGTAGGTTGCCATGGCAAAATAATTCATCCACTAATGGCCAACCTACTAGTGACAAGCTTCATTGCCTTTAGTTAAACTGGTCCTTGGACGGCAGATGGTGTCATGAGCTCCGTACTTGAAGACATTCCAATGTGGTAGAACCTATGAAACCTGACACTTTAGTGGTATAGTCTTCAAGAAACTGGAGACAATTCCATTTTGTGATGATGCATCAAAGTAGGACTTTGTAGAAGGGAATCAAATTCTACATATTTATTTTGAATTTAAGAGTATTTTTACTACAGTGAACCAAATTGTCATATGTTTAATTCACTTTTAGTACCACAAGATAGGAAATAATCTATATTCCAATCCACTGGAGTCTCTTCTCATGTTTTTTTTTTCTCTACTAAGTGGCAAATCTCCCAAAAGAAAACAAACTGACCTTTCATTTAATGATCAACAAATTTAGATTAAAGAGGATATTTGTTGGTATTTGCTGAATTTGCTTACCTATGAAAAAGGTACTCTAAAATTGAAAGTCCAAAAAAACTTGCAGAGATAGCTTACTATATGTTCAATTATTAACTGTATAATAGCTGGTCTCGGACAATACAAACCAGGAACTTCTCTTAGAGATGAAATTTTCATTTCATGAAATCCTTTTTGAATTACAGTAACTAAATCTACATAAAAAGAATCCAACATAGACTTGCTTTTCTACTTAACTTCCAGTAGTAAATACTTGGAAACTGGAAAATTTGGGTTTAAGCCCCGCCTCTGAAACATAATATCTGTGTGACCCTGGACAAGTCACTAAACCTCTTAGCACCCATAGGCAATTTCAAAGACTCTCTGAGTTGTGTATCAGTTGCTGTTCTGCATTGGCAGAGTTCTTCCCCAAAAGAACCATGAAGCTATGAAATCAAAGCATCAGCTTAAAAAGTACATAAATAAATCTATAGAAAAAAATGAAAAACAGTAAAAATAACTAAAAATGAAAAACAGTAAAAATAACTAACTACAACTAATATTTACATTATATGTATAATATAACTAATATAGCACCTGCCTACTATGTGCCAGATACTGTGCTAAGCATTTTATAAGTATTCTCTCATTCCCCCACCAACCCCAGAAGATAAATATTATTATTACCACTTTATAACTGAGAAAACTGAGGAAAAGCTTAAGTGACTTGCCCAGGGTCACACAGCCAGTAAGTGTCTGAGGCTACTTTAGAATGCAGGACTTTTTTACTCCATTCCCAGTGCTCTAACCACTGTACCATCTAACTGCCCCAAATGTAATATGATTTTAAATTACATTTATAAATATATATTCTATTTCCTTTCCAGTCTAAGATATATACTTTTTATTTCTCATTGCATCTCTAGGGTTTAACCTATATTTTTTGCAATACTTTCATGGTGCCCTTCATTCTCTTCAAAACTTAGTTCAAATACCATCTTCTGCATGAAGTTCTTTGTTGATCCCATAATTGCTAATGCATATTCTCCCTAATTGCTTCACATTAATTGTGTTCTTGCTCAGAATAACTTGTATATGTTGTCTTGATTATAAGGTCCTTGAAAATAGAGACATTTCATTTCTTGCCTTCAGAACCCCAGTACCTAACACAGTGTCTGTCACAGAGCAGGCAATTCATAAATGTGTACTGACTGACTGATTGGTAAGTAAATCCAATTTATATAAAGCAAAAAAGAAATTCAGTTATACTTTATATGCTAGAAATTTTAAATATACAATGTCATAACCTAATTATGTAGCTATTGGACAAAGGGATGGACAGTGGGAGAATGAACCAGCAGGGAAAAGGTATCATTATGTAATTTCCCCTTTTCTTCATAAAGTTCTGGCTCAAAAAGAAAAAATGCTACGTATCCTAAAGAGTAATCTTGTAGCCCAATATTCAACACTAATTCTGAAAAACACAATATATCTTAATATTTCAGCTAAGGAATCTACTGTGATAGTAAGGACTCTATAAGGCTTCCCAGAATCTTCAAAGAAAGCAGCTGATAGCAACTTACCGGTGGTGAAGAGAAGTTTCCTGGGATCCTGAACAAAACAAAGACAAATTATTGAAACAAAACAAAACATAAAAAGATGAATCAGGCATAATTTTGCAAAGGACCCAAGGAACATAAGCACATGTTGGGTAGATATGACACTTCCCTTTCAAAGGGATACTAAAAGCACTCAGTTGTTTCTAAAGTATTTCATATGTTGGAAGGGGCTCTAGGAGTTTGGTGTCATAGGATATATGCCTTCCTTCAGGCATGACCTCAAAGAAACATCTTTAAAAAATCAGGCATCCATCTCTGAAAGTGTATTGGACTAGAAATCAGGAGACCAAGGCTCCAGTCTGTCTCTACCATTTAGTAGCATAACCATGGTCATCCCATTTAACCTTTATGACTCAATTTCCTCATCTGTAAAGTGGAGATGACAATATCTGATCCATTGGCTTCAGGACAGGCGCAGTGTTATTGTGAGAATCAGGTAGAATAATGGATATGAAAGCTCTCTGTAACCTGAAAGATACTATACAACTGCAATATATTCTTATTCCCATTATTAATTCCTTCTATTAATATTAATAGTTAATATTAATTTGTATTGACTCCTACTATTAATATTGTCATCTTTCCGCATGTTTGACGTATCCTTCTCACATGGAAATGAAGTGTCTTTGTCTGTTTCTGCTTCCCTTTCTGTTTCTGTATCTGTCTATGTGTGTATGTATCTCTCTCCCTTTCCTCCTCTCCTTCTCTCTCTCTCAAATTAGATGACTTCCCAACAGCTTTTAGACCACTTTTAGTGATATTGGCAACTGCTTAATTCTGCTTAATCCATTAAGCATAAAGATAACACAGCATCTGTTCCCTTCTTCCACCATTGTGTCAAGGTCAAGGACTAGCTTGATGCAAGGCTAGTCAGAACAAGGTGTAACAAACAGCTCCTGACTTGCGGTAACATAAGCCCTGATCACCCACCTTCCCTACTAGCTCACTATTTAGTGATCTAATTGAGGTATTTGCTAAGCCAGAACTTTTGAATTATAGTAAATTAAATATATAAATAAACTACATTATTAACAATAATTTTAAGCAAAAAAAAGCCACTTTATTTTAGGATTGTTCCTTAAGGGCTAAAGCATCATTATCTGTAAAGTCTAAGACTTTAGAAAGAAAATAATTGATATGATTCAACCATTAGCATTCTTTCACTTACTCATCACATATTAAGAGCATACTACAGGCATACTATTGTGCTAGGAGCTGCTGAAGGTACAAAGCTAACCTTAAAATGTTTATAGTCTAAAATAGAAAGAAGGCACAAAAACCAGAGAACAATAATATACAATTATCACCTGCCATCGACATCAGTCAATAGGATTCTGATCAAATGTCATATAGGCCAGGTTAAGTTTGGAGGTGATAGAAAGCTGGAATAGGCAGCCAGGGAACCAAATTAAAATACTGAGCTACTGAGGTTGGTGACATGGGGAAAAAAAGTGGGAGTGTATCCCAGAGAGATATCATTTAATGTTCCATCCAGCAGGGAGCTGAGCTATTCAAGGATCACAGAAAGGAGGGCTCCAGATTAACAAAGCAAGACATGGAGATGATTGATGAAGATACCCTAAACACTCAAATTATCTTGATGTTTTTAGAAAGAAAGTGCAATTCAAGAGACCTGGTGAAATTGAGCAGCTGTAGTGGAGACACTGATGCTGCTGAACAATAGGAATTAGGAGTGATATCTGGGCAGACATGTTTACAAAGCAGATACTTCTCCAGTTCCCATTATCTGCTGCAAGGGATCTAAAATGGTAATATTGCATATTCCATGAACTAAAAAGGAATTTCAAAAAATTAACTAAACAAATACATTTTAAGATGCTTTAAAAAGTGCAGCAAGTTTCTGATTTCCAAAGAAAACCATCAAACCTCATTAAATGGCACACAAGAGTCAAAAGGAAAATATGATGTCTTAGACTACCCACCTCATCTCGATATCTTGCTGCATTTATTTCAAGGAAATCTTCATTGTAATTCACAGAGAAGTTCAGAGCATTCACCAGATGGGCAGCAACATGGACTCCTAGAAAACCCAACAAGGACCTGATTTATTAGGAGTCTTCTGTGGATGATTTAAGTTCCACTACAAAGGGTCAGTTGTAAAAAAAAAAATGGATTCTGCTTTGACAGCTGCACTGGGAATGGAACATCATAGTTACTTAGAAGTATGATGATAAATAGGCAGTTTTTTAGTTATAAATGGAGCTGTATTAGAAAAGGATCCATGTTGGAGAAATCATACTAGTGAATACTTATTATATTTATTTATAAATGTGATGGCAGACTAGAAAATATCAATAACAATAACTAGCATTTATAACACTTTAAGATTTGTAATATGCTTTAGAAATATCTCATTTATCCCCACAAGCCCTGGATGTATATGTTACTATTATCCTCATTTTACAGATGATGAAACTAAGGCAGACAGAGGCTACATGACCTGTTCAGGGTCACATAATTAACAAAAGTCTGAGACTGAATTCAAACTCAGATCTTCCTGACTCCAAGAGAAGCACTCTATTCATTGCAGCACCTAGTTGCCACCGTATCCCACAATCTCTCTCTCCCTCTACATACCCCCAACTTATGTATAGTATATTACAATGGCTGATTGAGTGTGCATGTCCCACAGCAGAGAATGTGACAGAGAAAAAACAAGGCCACACCATCAATCTAAGGGATAGACACTAAAGAAGAAATGCCCACACTAATCAATCAATCAAAAAGCATTTATTAAGTACCTAGGTGGTACAGTGAATAGAGTGCCAGGCCTGGAGTCAGGAAGACCTAAGTTCAAGTCCAGCCTCAGACATTTGCTAGCTATGTGACCCTGGGCAAGTCCCTTAACCATATTTGCCTCAGTTTCCTCATCTATGACATAAGCTGGAGAAGGAAATGGCAAACCAGTTCAGTATCTTTGCCAAGAAAATCCCAAAAAGGTTCACAAAGACATGACTGAAAATGAGTAAGTAAAAAAAAAAAAAAATACATGATGGGCACTGTTAAATGCTAGGGATATAACAAAAGAAATGAATCAGTCTCTGCCTTAAGGAGCTTATATTCTAATATATCCTCAAGCTAGTGAACTGGCAAAGATGTTCATCATAGGATCATACGTTTAGAGTTAGAAGGGACTTAAAAAGGATATCAGTTCACACTCCCTCTTTATACAGATGAGGAAATTAAGGCTAAGAGGGATTAAATGATTTGCCCAGAGTCACATAGCTAGTAAGTACTTGAGACACAATATGAACTCAGGTCATCCTGATTCCAAACCCCCAGAGCTCTATCCATCATACCACCCAGCTGCCTTATAAAGATGAAAGATTGGGGAGGTCAATGTTGGAGTGGCTATGGTAAGACAGGTATCCTAATATACCACTGCTATGTAAATCCACTTACCAAACTTAACTGGACATGGCATTATTCTAGAACTACAAAGCTCCTGTTGTTTAAGAGTTTCTATAGTATATTTTCATTTTCAAACACCTTTTTATTCATTGAATCCAGCTGTAAGTTTTTTAAGTTTTTTTAAAATGTTGTTTCTCCTCACAATCTGAAATAAAACCATTGCCTTTCAACAACATAGACATGACCTGCTCTAGGGGGAACATTGGGTTCTTATAATATGACATATATTAATAAAAGCAATTATCTGTGGGTCTTTCTAAGGATACATACAAGTCTAATCTTTTTGACAAGAAAGCCATTATTCACAGTCAACAGTTAAACTCCCCCACAAGAAAGTTACTATCCATAGCAAATTGTAACTCTAGCACTTTTTAAGGTCTTTCTGCTAGACAAGCCTTCAATCTTATAAAATCTTACCTGAAAAGATGCAGATGGTAACACCACAGGTTATGTGGAAAGTTCTACTTTTATCTAAAAGCCTTCTTGTTCTTCTGCTTGCAACCTAAAATTTGAAAAAAAAATTAACAAATTCTTTTGCTAAAATACAGTAACAGGCTAAACTGTATAAAATATCTAATCATATAGGGAAAAAATCATTCAGCTCCTATTTTAACAATGTTTTACTTTCAGAGAATGTGGAGCAATCAGACAAAGAGCACTATCTATCCACTGAGCTATCTCCAGTCATCCTCATGAATACCTGGCCACTGGACCCAGATGGCTCTGGAGGAAAAAGTGAGGCTGGTGACCTTGCACAGGCCTCCTGCACTCAAAACAAAGTCAATTGCAAGTCATGTCATCATCTCCCTGACACCATGGTACTCTTTGAAAATGAAGAACAAACACAACTATCTATCCTCACCTTCTTTACCTTCTCCCTTTGAAACCTGGGAGCCAAAACGTAGTGGCCTAAAATAAGAATTCTGAGTACAAAGTTTGAGAACTCTTAGGATAATTTTATGTTTGTGACTGACTAAATTAAAAATAAAGGAAGTTCAAAAAACAATGCAACAAGCTGGCATTCTGTGGTTTTCCATTCATTTGAGGTATTGCATAGTGGGGAGCTGGCAAAGCAATCCCAAAACAACAATGATTTTTTTAAATGATTAAAAGTAAATAACTCTGTAACACTTAAGTAAAGGGGGGGGAGGAATATTTATTTATCTATTTTATTCACTTAGAGCCTGGATGTGGGATTTCATTGGTTTAGGGAATTACAGTGAGAAAATTTCCTCTCTCAGTGCAGACTGACAAGTAATTGTTCCCTGTCTTAAAGTATTACCTTATTGTATGTGTGTAAATAGATTGAATGGTTTATCTTAATAAATACTTACTAAAGTCCCTAACACAGGTGAGATATTATGATAAGTGTTGTGGATACATAAGGATAAAAATTACAATGGCTGCTCTCAATGAGTTTACACTCTAATCAGGGCAATACAGCATGTACCAAGTAAATATGATGCTATGTAAAATGAGATAAGAGTAAAGGAGAAGTTAAGGTAAAAATATTTAGGAAAATTTGAAGATGGATCAATCAACTATGGAGAAGCCGATGGAGGTGTGAGGGATGGGGAATAGAATCAAGGAAGGTTTCATGAAAAATGCAGCATCAGAACTGAGAAGAGAAGCATTTCACCTGATCTGAGGAATGAGAGAACAAACTGAGATAGACAAACAGCTAACAGTGCGATTCAGCCAAAGCAGAGTATATAAAGAGTAAGAGTGTGAGATAAGGATACAATAGTAGACAGCAGCCAAACTGGGGGTGTTCTTAAGCGATAAGTTAAGGAGTTGTATTTGACCCTATATGTAATAGGGAGCCACTAAAGGTTTTTGAGCAGGTGAATGGTATGGTGAAATGGAAAGCAGGGGAATTATTTTGGCAACTGTGTGAAATGTCCTACACACACACACACACACACACACACACACACACACACACACACATTAAAGGCATTGGGGAGTTCTAGTGGTGAGAATACTCACAGAGATGAAATCATGGACTCTTGAAGCATTGAAAGTATGATTGAATAGGAAATAAACTGTAACAAAGGAAACCTAAGTATTGTAATAATAACATTCTTCAATTAAGGTGCTAGCCATGCCAAGCAGGAGAAAGAAAAGATGTGTGAGTTAGGAGGTAGAATCAATAGTTGTTGGCAACTAATTGGGTGCTGGAGGAGGGAGAGAGGGAAAGGAAAGGATCGAAAGCAACTTTCAAGTTTAAAGCCTTGGTGACTGAGAGAATGGTGGTTCCTCAACAGAATCAAGAACATGAGAGATTTGGGGAACAAGTTTGTAGAAGATTGGGAAAGGAGGGGAGATAGTGAGTTCAGTTTTAGACACCCAGATGAAGACAGCTAGTAGGGAGCTGAAATCTAAAAGTAGAGAGCAAAGAAAGATGAAGGCTTGAGATATTGTTTTGGGAATCATTCATAGGAGCAATAGTTAAGGTCAGATGAGCAGATGAAATTGCCAAGAAAGAGACTATAAGGAGAAAAGGAAATAAAAGCAGGGGACAGAGCCTTGCAGGACACCCTCACTTCACTTAGTAGGGCAGTTGTAGGAAGATGAACCAAAAGAGGACCAAAAAGGAGGGTTAGACAGATAAGAGTAGGATAAAGAAAGAGAGCAGTGCCACAGAAACTGAAGAATTAAGATGCATCAAGGGCAAGATGGGCAATAGTTTTGAATGTTACAGAAAGGTCAAAGCTGCTTAGACCTCAGAAAGATCTCACACATATATGTGGGGTGGATAGAAAGATGACGAGGTCCTTGAGAGCTGGCACTGTCCCATTTGGTTTTCCACCTGGAATTTGCACTCCACAGCAGCTCCGCCCCTACCTTCTGGGAGCCCCGCAGGAAGGCCAACAATGTCCGGCACATCGGTAAAAGAATAAGACTGCAGTTGAAGTTGAGAACTGATGCTGAAGCTCTGCTTAGACACAATCCTAGCTGAACAAATAAGACAAGAGTCACAATACAATCAAAAACCAAATTACAACCACCTAGCATGCATGACTCATCACTACCCCCAAATGTGTTCTATTTCTCCATATGCACTATTATGGGCCTCATGTCACAGTTGTAGAAACTGAGGCAGACAGGCTATGTGATTTGCCCAGGGTCACACAGCTAGCAAGTATCTGAGACTGGATTTTAACTTTGATCTTTCTGACTTCAGGACCAGTGCTCTATCCACTGTGCCACCTACTTGCCTTTCAGGAAACCAAGGGTAGATGAAAATAAAGATGGAATTTCTTTCTCATTTTATAAATCCCCTAAAATTTATCCATGGATTCCAAGTTATGAATTCCTGTTCCAAATGCTCTCTACTTTCTTGGTTTCCATGACACCAAACTGTCATGGTTTTTCTCCTCCTCTTTGACCCCTTTTTTGTGAGGTTACTCATCTTCTACCCACCCTTTACAATTCTGTCTTTGGTCCTATTACATGTTTTCTCTCCACCCCCATAAATTCTTCAATTACCACTTCTATGGAGATGATTTTCAAATTCCTGTTCCCAGAGTTCCAGTGCTAGATCTCTGTCTGCTTGATATGCTCACATGGAGATCTCTTCAGAACCTAAAACTCAACATTCCTAATTCTGAACTCATCAGCTCTCTCCAAAATCTATTCCTTCCCCTGACTACCCTATTTCTGTTGATAGCGCTATCATTCACCCAGTAATCCAGGGAATAAAATGGCTCAGGTTTTATTTTTCCCCCTCTACTTATACCCCCAAATTTAATCAACTACCAAATCCTATTAATTCCAACTAGCCTGTCCTTTCTACTCTCACTGTAATCAACCTAGCCCAGGCTTCAATCACATTTGACCTGGATTCAATTCAACAAACATCAAGGGTCTAATTTGTTAAGAGCATTGTGCTAGGTCCTACTAGAAATACAAATTGTAGATAAGATATCATATCTGTCTTCATAAAGCTTACAACCTAGCAAGTGAATAAGACACAAATAAAAGAAATCATGAAACCCTACATTATATAGTATTTGAATTAGAAAGATAAAAAACAAAGCACTACATGAGATCCAAAGGGTAAGGGCATTACTCCATAGAGGAGGTGGTATTCAAGTTGGGCTTTAAAGGTTGAAGGGGAATTCCATGATATTTTTTTTATCCCACTCCTGACTCAGTTCCAAAACTTCTCTTTTCTCCTCAAGCCAGCTATTCCACTCCCTCCTTCATTCCATTTTAGCATAAGGTCTTGACTCATACTTCACTGGAAAAAAACCAAAGACATCAAACATAAGCTTCCCCTTTTCCTCAGTTATAAACTTCAAGGCACCTCCACATCATCCCCTTTCTCCTTATTTGTTTCAGTCTTAAAGGAAAAAAAAAATGGATATAATGCCTCTGAAGTCGCTTAACACCTTATCCTCTTTACAAATGTCAACCATTCTGCTTTGGTGGTCAGTACCTCTTCCAGGAGCTTTTGAAGATGAACATCCCTTCTCTCTACCTAATTTTTATTCTTTATTCACTGGATCCTTCCTTATTGCTTAAAGATATGCCCAGGGAGCATTTGTAACTTAAAATTTTTAAAAAGAATGTTTAAAATGGTTTTTACCTGTACTTGGAAAAAATATTAAAAATATGTTCTGACATCCCTATTCTTAAAAAAAAAAACTTCACTTGATCCCACCATCCTTTCGATCAATGGTTCTATCTCCGTCCTATCTTTCCACAGTCATACTTTATACTTATTCATTCTTAGCTATCTATAATCTACAATAAGCTATCTACAATCCTTGCATCAATTTTCTCACCTTTCACTAACTTCTCAACTCTTTTTAATCCGGCTTCTGGTCTCATTACTCAACTGAAAATACTGTGTTCATGATCACTTCTAATCTCTTAGGTGAAAAATCTGATTGCTTCTCTCATTTTTCAACCCTCTTGACCTCTCTGGAGAATTGAACATGTTGATCACTTCCTCTTTCTATATATTCTCTCTGTTGTTTTTTTTCCCCGATTTTTCCTGTATGGTTCTCCTCATAACTTTCTATTTGTTCCCAAATTCCTTTGCTAGATCATTACTCATGTCCTACTCCCCTCAGTATAGTTATACTCCACAATGTTAGCCTGGGCTTTCTTCTCTTCACTCTCTACCCACTTTCTCATCAGTTCCTAGAGATTCAACTGTGATTTTTGTATATATAACAATATGTCAATCTCTGGTATCCCTTTTGAACTCCAAGCATGTGTCCACAAATGTCTGTGGAATATCTCCAACTAGATGTACTACAAGTATTTCAAACTCAATATGTTGAAATAAAACTGATTCTTTCCCCTAAAGCCTTCCCAATACGTTTGTTGATTTTTATTGATTGATTGGCTAAAAACTATCTTAAGATATTTCCTTTAAAACCCTCAGCAGTATAGAAGTAATAAAACCAGATAGTGAGTTTTACCCAGGAATAAGCATTTTATGGCCGAGTTTTACCCAAGAATAAGGTCAGGAATAATATAAAGCCAGGTGGGGAATTGTAAGATGACAGCTAGCTAACATTAAATGGCAAAACTTTGGGATCAAGCATGAGCATAGAAATAACTGAAGCCATGCCAGGGAAGATGCAAAAAAAGAATACGAGTAATTGAACCAGACACAAAGAGGGTAAACAAAAAACTTAACATGACTGAAAGTATAGAAGAGACAGAAGAACAGGCTGTGGATAGACACTACAGTTTGAGCATATGATCTTAGAAGTATTTTGACATCTTTGAGCTAGTGAAGTCTAAGATATGACTGTGTTAATGTTTGGCTGAAATTGGACCAATGGTGCTGAGGAGATTAAAGGATTGTACTGGTAGAATAACATAAGGTTTGCCAACATAAATGATCAAGTCTTCTTGGATAATGGCAACAGGTAGGATAGAGAAGAAACTGAATCAGGAACTAAATTTCTCCTTTTACCTATTATAGCCTTCCTTAAATCATAGCAATTTTTGTACACTTCTTCCTCTCCCCTCCTTCCCTGAATACATTATAAGATCTTATGTAAGGATTGTTTATGTTATTTCATTTTTTTATCCTTAAGGCCTAGTATGAGTTGCACATTATTATCCCTAGCGGTTAACACATTAGTTGAATGTAGTAAATGCTTAACATATATTCAGTTAAATGTATTGAGCACTTTATATAGATTATCACATTGATCTCTATACAACTTTTTATGGTAGATAATGCAAAAATAATTATCCCCATTTTATAGGTAAGAAAAATGAGGCTTAAAGAGGTTAAGAACTTCATCCAAGGTCATAGAGATAAGAAGTAACAGACAGAATTTTGAACACTGGTCTTTTGATTCCAAACACATTACCTAATATATGCCATAAATGCTTCCAGAAGAAAAATATGAGACGCTCTAGATGGCTACCTGGTAACACACACACACACACACACACACACACACACACACACACATCTACCTAGTCATATGATAGGTTCTTCGACTGAATGAAGAAGCGGTATATCTTGGGCATAACGGCCTTTCTCATCTCGCATACCAAAGCTTTCCATTCACATCCACTGGAACACTTCAAAAGCCCACACACTTCCCTGGAGCTGGATCCATATATACTCTTTTAAAGCTTAGTATGAATAATCAGACATGCTCTCCATGCAGGAAGACTAAGGATTATTAGCTAGATGCCTGGATTGACATTCAGCATTTACTAGGCTGCTTTGTCATATCTTTCTGAGGTCTTCCCTACCAGACCTGTGTAATCTACCCCAGGCCAGGAACTGAGCCTATCTAAGTCTTTGTATTTCCCGTGTTTCCCTCAGAATTCTTAACTCAGAAAGAAGGTAAGAAATAGTGAATGCTGATGAGGGAAGTTGTCAAGACCTCACTTTTTTTTTTTTTGGAAGTTTCTATAGCACAGAGAGCAGAGCCATAAGCCCAGGCAACTTGATGAATTGGAAACCTGTCAAAGATTATAGTGTGTGGGCATTATGTATACATATACATATATGCATATATACATATACACACAGACATACATACATGTATGTGTGGAAAGAGAGAGAGAGAGCTACTAAGAGGTTGTGTAGTGGATAGAACACTAGGCCTTAAGTCAGAAAGACCTGAATTCAAATCCACCTCAGACACTTACTAGCTGTGTGACCCTGGGCAAGTCACTTAACCCTTTTGCCTCAGTTTTCTCATCTGTAAAATGAGCAGGAGAAGGAAATGGCAAACTGCTCCAGTATTTTTGCCAAGAAAACCCCAAATGGGGTCACAAAGAGTTCAACATGACTAAAACAACAACAACAGTATATGTGTGTATATGTATACAGAAATATATATATATGTGATAGTAATAGCTCACAGTTTCAAAGTGACATAGATTTGAAATGGGAAGGGACCTCTAAGGTCATCTAGTCAGTTCTCACCCCCCCATTTTAAAGATAAAGAAACTGAGGCCACAGAGGATAAGTAATTGCATAAGATCACAAGGGTAATTAGTGGTAGACCTGTGACATGAAACTAGCCCCTCTGACTCTCATTTTCCTCATGACTGCTCTGTGAGATATTAAGATGTGTTATGACCCAACCAGATGGGGAAACTCAGAAAGAACTCGAAGGTGTTAAGCGACTTCAGAGGCAGAACTTCATCTAAGGTCACAGAGATGAAAAGTAATATATACACAGTATCTGACACATGGGACTTGTCTGCTTTAAAGGTGTTGGGTTTATTTTATTTTGTTTTGTTTTGTTTTGTTTTTTTGCGAGGCATTCAGGGTTAAGTGACTTGCCCAGGGTCCCCCAGCTAGTGTCAAGTGTCTGAGATGGGATTTGAACCCAGGTCCTCCTGACTCCAAGTCAATATTTTTGCCACCTAGCTTAGTTGGGCAAAAATATTGCATCACTCCCAAGGCATTGAGAAGAGGCATTCTTGTAACGGTGTTGTAGTAACCAGTGAGAAAG